CAAGTAACAGAGGATTGTGGGTAGAAATAAAATTGGGGATAGGTAGATTGTTATTTTAAAGTAGAATGGCCAAGAGCTAAGGAGACTTTGGAGCAGAGACTCGAAGAAGGTGAAGGTGCAAGCCATTCAGGTATCTGAGAAAGCATTTCGGGTTGAGGGAGCAGCAAATGCAGACCCTCAGAGGTAGAATATATGTCTTGAGTTTATGGGAAAAGTCCAGGCTGAAGATATGTATTTGGGAGCTATCAATGTATAGATGGTATTTAAAGCTAGGAGAACTGGTTGCAATCTCCCAGATGATTTAGATACAGGAGAGAAGAGGTCCAGGGACCATACCCTGGATTCTCCAATGTTAATGGTTGAGGAGAAAAAGAGGAGCCAGTAAAGGAGACTGAGGAGCAGAACCACATAAAATAGAAGGAAGCCAGATGTTTTAAGCGGGAAAGGATAATCAGCTAAGTCAAATGCTGCAGATAGGTCAAGTTAAGACCTAAGAATTTAATGATATTGATAATTGTTTTTTGTTTTGTTTTGTTTAAGAGGCAGAGTCTCACTTTCTTGCCCAGGCTGGATGTAATGGTGCCATCATAATTCATCGTAACAAACTCCTGGACCCATGCGATCCTCCCACCTTAGCCTCTCAAGTTGCTGGGACTGCATGCGCATGCCACCACACCTGGCTAATTTTAAAATTTTTATTTTTTATTTTTTGATGTGGAGTCTCGCTCTGTCACCCAGGCTGGAGTGCAGTGGCAAGATCTCGACTCACTGCAGTCTCTGTCTCCCAGGTTCAAGTGATTCTAATGCCCTAGCCTCTCAAGTAGTTGGGACTAAAGGCACATACTACCACGCCTGGCTAATTTTTTATATTTTTAGTAGAGGCAAGATTTTACCATGTTGGCTGGGCTGGTCTTGAACTCCTGCTCTCAAGCGATATCTGCCTGCTTTGGCCTCCCAAAGCACTGGGATTACAGGTGTGAGCCACTGCACCCAGCCTAATTTTTAAATTTTTTATAGAAATGGGGTCCCGCTATGTTGCTCAGGCTAGTCCCAAACTTCTGAGCTAAAGTGATCCTCCTGCCTCAGCCTTCCATGATGTGGGATTACAGGCATGAGCCACTGCTGCATTTGTAATCAAAAAGAGCAGTTTCAGTGTAATTGAGGTGATGAACTAAATGGTGTGGATTCAGAGATATCAGGTATAGACAGCTCTTTAGAGTTTTGTAGTAAAGGGGGCTGGTAGCTAGAGAGGGAAGTAAGGTGAAGGGACTCTTAAGGTAGGAGAAATTTCCATCAAGTCATTTATGTTAAAAAAAAAAAAAAGAGGTAGGAGAAATTACATTGTACTGATGAGGGCTGTCAAGTCATGAAGAAAAAACTGATGATGTAAGAAGCTTGTGGCCCCCACAGTGATTCAAGCCTGTAATCCCAGCACTTCGGGAAAATGGGGTGGGAGGATTGCTTGAACTTAGTAGTTTGAGACTAGCCTGAGTATTATAGTGAGACCCTGTCTCTAAAAACAATGAAAATAAAAAATTAGGCATGGTAGTGAGCATCTGTGGTCCCTGGTCCCAGCTATTTAAGAGGCTGAGGCAGGAGGATCACTTGAGCCTGGGAGATAGAGGCTGCAGTGAGCCAAGAGTGTGCCACTGCACTCCAGTGTGGGTGACAGAGCAAGACCCTGTCTCACAAAAAAAAAAAAAAAAAAAAAAAAGGTTTAGGTTCCATGGTCTGTTACTGTAACCACTCTTTTGCATATGCCTTCAACTCCTTTGCGCTGTACCCCTTTGTCATAATCATCTAGAAAACCCCAATTCTTATTAAATTCAGTGCTCTGTCAGTTACACCCCTAAACCCACACAGCTGAAAAACAAAAACCATACAGGCAGGAAAGAACACAGCCATACTAACTAGTCTCATTTTAAATTTATGAACCTTAAGTGGGGTGTCTGGAAATCACTTGGTGCATTCACTCACCTAATCCTCTAGATAACTTTTCACTCCTTCCCTATCTTTAAATCTCCTGTCTTCACCAATAACTAAAAATCTCCTTTTCTTTTTCTTTTTTGAGCCAGAGTCTCACTCCAGCTGCAACCAGGCTGGAATGCAATGACATGGTCTTGACTCGCTGCAACCTCTGCCTCCTGGGTTCAAGTAATTCGCCTACCTCAGCCTCCCAATTAGCTGGAACTACAGGCATGTGCCCCCATACCTGGCTAATTTTTGTATTTTTAATAGAAACAGAGTTTTACTATGTTGACAAGGCTAGTCTCAAATTCCTGACCTCATAATCAATCTCGCCTCTATTTCTTTTCTTTTTTGAGGCGGAATTTCACTCTGTTGCCCAGGTTGGAATGCAGTGGAGTGATGTCAGCTCACTGCAACCTCTACCTCCTGGGTTCAAGCAATTCTCTTGCCTCAGCCTCCAGACACACGCCACCATGCCTAACTAGTTTTTGTATTTTTAGTAGAGATGGGATTTTACCATGTTGGCCAAGACATTCTTGATCGCCTGACCTTGTGATTTGCCCACTTCTGTCTCCCAAAGTGCTGGGATTACAGGCCTGAGCCCCACCGCACCTGGCCTCTTTTTTTTTTTTTTTTTTTTGAGATGGAGTCTTGCTTTGTCACCCAGGCTAGAGTGCAGTGGCATGATCTTGGCTCATTGTAACCTCCGCCTCCTGGGTTCAGGTGATTCTCCTGCCTCAGCCTCCTGGGTAGCTGGGACTAAAGGTGCGTGCCACCACGCCCGGCTAATTTTTTGTATTTATAGTAGAGACAGGGTTTCACCATATTAGCCAAGATGGTCTTGAACTCCTGACCTCATGATCCGCCCACCTCGGCCTCCCAAAGTGCTGGGATTACAGGCGTGAGCCACCTTGCCTGGCCTTTTTTTTTAAGACAAAGTCTCCCAGGCTGGAGTGAAGTGATGCTATCTCAGCTCACTGCAACCTATGTCTCCTGAGCTCAAGCAATTCTCCTGCCTCCGCCTCCTGAGTATCTGGGATTACAGGTGCCTACCACCATGCCCTGCTAATTTTTCTATTTTTAGTAGAGATGCAGTTTCACCATGTTGGCCAGGTTGTTTTTGAACTCCTGACCTAAAGTTATCTGCTCGCCTCAGCCTCCTGAAGTGTTGGGATTACAGGCATGAGCCACTGCGCCTGGCCTCTTTTTTTTTTTTTGCCTTTTTTAAAAGATGGGGTCTCACTTTGTCTCCTAGGCTGGAGTGCAATTGTGTGACCTTGGCTTCCTATAGCCTCAGCTTCCCAGGCTCAAGTGATCCTCCTGCCTCAGCCTCCCTAGTAGCTAGGATTACAGCACTGGCCACTGCACCCAGCTAATTTTTTGTATTTTTCAGAGAGACAGGGTTTCGCCACGTTGCCCAAGCTTTTCGCAAACTCCTGGACTCAAATGATCAGCCTGCCTTGGTCTCCCAAAGTACTGGGATTACAGATGTGAGCCACCACACCTGGCCTGTTTCATTGAAAAAATAAAACCAATCCCAAGCTAACTTCCACACCACCCTGCCTATCTGCCTAAGTTTGTGCCCTTATATTTCACCTTCCCTCCTATTACTATGAACTGTCTATGCTCCCAATTAAATGCTTCCCCATCTTTTCACTCCTATACTAGATCTAACTTCCTACCAACTCAAGAAGATGGCTCCAACACAGCAGTTTTCTGTTTCCTTTTTTTTTTCTTTTGAGACAGAGTCTCACTGTCACCCAGGCTGGAGTGCAATGGTGCAGTCACAGCTCACTGCAACCTCTGCCTCCCAGGTTCAAGTAATTTTCATGCCTCAGCCTCCTGAGTAGCTGGGACTATAGGAGTGTGCCACCATGCTAATTTTTGTATTTTTAGTAGAGACAGGGTCACCATGTTTGTCAGGCTGGTCTTGAACTCCTCACCTCAAGTGATCATCCACCTCAGCCTCCCAAAGTGCTGGGATTACAGATATGAGCCACTATGCCCGGCCCAGCACAGGAATTTTCTTCTGTTTCTTACATCATCATAATGAAACTATTAGAAGCATGGACCTTAATTTTTGTTTTTTGGGGTAAAGCCAAGCCAGCTGAGACCATATGTAAACTCAGAACAGAGAAAACAAAGAAAAATGTACTTGATATGTGTTACTTGATGTAAAGTTATATTAAAATCTTCAAATACCTTGGTTTAATTGACAGGAAGATTAATATCCTGAATGAAATCATTTTTTTAACTTTTATTTTAAGTTCAGGGATGCAAATCTAGGTTTGTTACATAGGTAAACTTGTATCTTGGGGGTTTATTGTACAGATAATTTCATCACCCAGATAATTATTAAGCCTAGTACCCATTAGTTGTTATTCCGAATCCTCTTACCCTCCGAAAGTCCCCAGTGTGTATTATTCCCCTCTGTGTGTTAATGTATTCTCATTGTTTAGCTCCCACTTACAAGTGAGAACGTGTAGTATTTGGTTTTCTGTACCTCTGTTAGTTTGCTAAGGATAATGGCCTCCAGCTCTATCCATATCCCTGCAAAGGACATGGAAATTATTCTTTTCCATGCAAAGAACCCCTTTTTTTGTATTTTAATATAGAAATAATTTCTTAGATTCAACTTAATTGGAAAGCCATTATTTAGGCCAGGCACAGTGGCTCATGCCTCTAATCCCAGCACTTCAAGAGACTGAGGCTGGTAGATCACTAGGTCAAGAGATGGAGACCATCCTGGCCAACATGGTGAAACCCATCTCAACTAAAATATAAAAGTTAGCTGGGTGTGGTGGCACACGCCTGTAGTCCCAGCTTATTTGGGAGGCTGAGGCAGGGGAATCACTTGAACCCAGGAGGTAGAGGTTGCAGTAAGCTGAGATCATACCACTGTATTCCATCCTGGCAACAGAGCGAAACTACATCTCAAAAAAATAAAAGCCATTATTTAAGGTCCTGCAGATGTCTTGGTGAAACACATTTGACTTATGGGATCTATAATAAACTGTTTTTTACCCCATAAGGCTTCCAGACAAGCTGCAGGAATTCCAGGGATTACTCCAACTGAAGAAAAGTGAGTAATTATTTTCTTGGAATCAAGTAGAGTCAATTCTTCATTATTGATATCAAGACTAAACCATGTGTTTAGCTAATCACAGTAGCTCTTGCCAGCTACTGAGGAGGTTGAGGTGGAGGATCACTTGAGGCCAGGAGTGTAATGCTGCAGCGAGCTATGATTATGCCACTGTACTCTAGCCTAGACAACAGAGCCAGACACTGTTTCTAAAAATAAATAAATAAATAGAAAACTAAGGTTTTTTTTGTGATGGGACTGGGCAGACAGATGGAATAGAGTAGGTAGTTCAGAAGACAAAACAAATATATATGATAAACCACATTTTTAGATTACTCATCTTTCCTTTGATTGCTGTAAATTTACCTGGGCACTTAACCTAAACTTTGTTAAGAACAGAAAAGAGGGTCGTGTAAATCAAAATATTTCATTGCTTTCACTTCCCCTTGCCAGAGAAAGCTAAAAAGAGAATTAAGATAGAAGGAAAGAAGGAAAAGATTGCTATAGCTGATCTGATGATTTTCATTGGCTGATGATGTCCATTGTTATCTCAGAGTTAGGTGCTGGATAGCTAAGTTGGATAGCTTTCCGGTATCCAAGTCAGATATTCCTGTGGAGATTTTTTATTCGTTATGAGGTGTTAAGAATTCTTAAAATAGCAGACAAATCCATATTCAAATATAACTATAGAAACATAGTAAGAAGGCAAACATAATTGAGTTTTGGATTTTGCAGTAATTTGAATTTCATGAACCTTTGTTCTCATTTATTGACACAGTTAATTCAGAGTCAACTATTGTTTTTCTGATTTTTCCAAGCTAAACTGATTACTTTATCAAATATTGCTCTTTTGTCAGAGACGGTAATCTTCCAGATATTGTGAATAGTGGAAGTTTGCACGAGTTCCTGGTTAATTTGCATGAGAGATACGGGCCTGTGGTCTCCTTCTGGTTTGGCGGGCGCCTTGTGGTTAGTTTGGGCACTGTTGATGTACTGAAGCAACATATCAACCCCAATAAGACATGTAAGTTTACTTTTCTTTCTAATTACCTGATCCTTACTGTTTAAGAATGAATGTTTAGGCCAGGCATGGTGGCTCATGCCTGTAATCCCAGCACTTTGGCAGGCTGAGGCAGGTGGATCACTTGAGGCCAGGAGTTTGAGACCAGGCTGACCAATATGGCAAAACCCCGTCTCTACTAAAAATACAAAAACTAGCCGGGTGTGGTGGCACATGCCTGTAATCCCAGCTACTCAGGAGGCTGAGGCATGAGAATCTCTTGAACCCAGGAGGCAGAGGCTTCAGTGAGCCAAGATTGTGCCACTGTACTCCAGCCTAGGCGACAGAGCAAGACTTGTCTCAAAAAAGAAAATTAAATTAAATTTAAAAGAATGAATGTTTATAAATAAAGAACTGTATATATACATTGTTCTTGGATAGGAATAGTCAACATTTATTGAGTACTTTGTACTATGTGCTAGGCACTGTGCTGCAGTTTTATTACTTCATTTAAGATAGTATTTTAAGTAATTGTGTTTTTCCTTAATTTATAAGTGTTTATGATAAAATCTCAGTGTAAATTCCGACAGGATTTTTTTGGGACCCTGAAAAAATAGTTCCAAGGTATATCTAGAAGAATAAATGTCCATGATCGCCAGGAAATAATCTTAGAAAGAATATTAACAGGCCGGGCACGTGGCTCATGCCTGTAATCCCAGTGCTTTGGGAGGCTGAGGTGGGTTGATCATGAGGTCAGGAGATCAAGACCATCCTGGCCAACATGGTGAAACCCCATCTCTACTAAAAATACAAAAATTAGTTTAGCATGGTGGTGCACGACTATAGTCTCAGCTACTCAGGAGGCTGAGGCAGAATAATAGCTTGAACCCAGGAGGGGGAGGTGGCAGTGAGCTGAGATCACACCACTGCACTCCAGCCTAGGCAACAGAGCGAGATTCCATCTCAGAAAAAAAAAAAGAATATTAATGAGGGAAATACTTGTATTATCAGTTAGTATAGTGTATTATAAAGCTAGATTAATTTAAAGAATCTTGTACTGGCCAGGCGCAGTGGCTCACATCTGTAATCGCAACTTTGGGAGGCCTAGATGGAAGGATCACTTGAGCCCAGTTCAAGAGCAGTCTGGGCAACATAGTGAGACCTCATCTCTGCAAAAAAATACAAAAGTTAGCCAGATGTGATGCGTGTGCCTGTAGACCTAGCTACTTGGGAGGCTGAGGTAGGAGGATCGCTTGAGTTCAGGAGGTTGAGGCTGCATTGAGCCAAGGTTGCAGAACTCTACTCTAGCCAGGCAGCCAGGGGACAGAGCAAGATCCTGTCACTTTAAAAAAAAAAAAAGAATCTCCTGGCCAGGCACGATGGCTCCTGCCTGTAGTCCCAGCACTTTGGGAGGCTGAGGCAGGTGGATCACCTGAGGTCAGGAATTGGAGACCAGCCTGGCCAACCTGGTAAAACCCTGTCTCTACTAAAAATGCAAAAATTAGTCACGCCTAGTGATGCACACCTGTAATCCCAGCTACTTGGGAGGCTGAGGCGGGAGAATCTCTTGAACCCGGGAGGCAGAGGTTGCAGTGAGCTAAGATCGAGCCACTATACTCCAGCGTGGGTGACAGAGAGAGATTCCATCTAAAAAAAAACCTCATACTGTGGTAGGGCTAGACAACAGATGTAATCGAGTAGATAGTTCAGAAGACAAACCAAATGTAGGTGATAAAGATAGCATTTTATGACAAAAGAGAAAAGTAGTAGATGGTTTTGGGAATATTGGTTAGATTTGGAAAAAATAAATCTCAATCCCTGCCTTATTGGTTATTTTTTTCCTCCCTCTTTTACCCAGGCTAGAGTGCAGTGGTACTATCATAGCTCACTGTATAACCTACAACTCCTGGGCTCAAGTGATCCTCCCAACTCAGCCTTTGAGTAGGTGGGACTATAGGCATGCACTGCCATGCCTGGATTTTTTTTTTTTACTTTTTAGTGGAGATGAGGTCTCACCACATTGCCCAGGAAGGCCTCCAACTCCTAGACTCAAGCAATTCTCCTACCTCTGCCCTGCAAAATACTGGGATTACAGGTGTGAGCCATTGCACCTGGTGTCTGCCTTATTCCTTATATCTAAATAAATTCTAGATGATTAAAATATCAGGTCATAAAGGTAATACAGGAAAACTTGGTTAAATATTAAATTTTTCTCATTGGTTGGGGAGAATGTAGATAAACCTTTTCTTACAGTGGTATAAGATCTAGGAGCTATAAAACACAAGTTAGATAAACCTATCTACATAAAAATGAAAAATTTTAGTACAGTAACAGACACCTTGAATGGATGCAGTAGCACATACCTGTAGTCTCAGCTATTCAGGAAGCTGAGATGGGAGGATCACTTGAACTCAAGAGTTGAAGACCAGTCTGGGAGACACATTGAGAGTCTGCGATTTAAAAAACAAAGTCAAAATCACCTTGAGAAAGAAAAAAGAGATGGGAAAATGTCAACTACACATTGTCACACCTGATGTATAGTAATCGATTATCATATTTTTGTTAAATAAAAAGGCACCATGACTAAAGTTTAAACGAGAAATGGAAAAGCAATTTACCACCAATATGTTAAATATATATAGTACATAAAAACTAAAAAGAAAAAATAGGCCAGGTGTGGTGGCCGTAATCCCAGTACTTTGGGAGGCTGAGGTGGGCGGATCACCTGAGGTCAGGAGTTCGAGACCAGCCTGGCCAACATAGTAAAACCCCCTCTCTACTAAAAATACAAAAATTAGCTGAGCAGGGTAGCAGGTGCCTGTAATCCCAGCTACTCAGGAGGCTGAGTCAGGAGAATCACTTGTATGCAGGAGGCAGAGATTGCAATGAGCCCAGATCATAACACTGCATTTCAGCCTGGGTGAGAAGAGCAAAACTGTCTCAAAAAAAAAAAAAGAAAAATGAAAACAGTTAAGGGAATTATGAAAAAGAATTGCTATGCTTTCAGCTATAATCCTTTACCTCCCTAATCTCTTGTTCTCTTACAGGAAATCTTTTTGAGTGATTATTTTGATACAGAAATATTTAATTTGTTTCAGTGGACCCTTTTGAAACCATGCTGAAGTCATTATTAAGGTATCAATCTGGTGGTGGCAGTGTGAGTGAAAGTCACTTGAGGAAAAAATTGTATGAAAATGGCGTGACTAATTCTCTGAAGAGTAACTTTGCTCTCCTCCTGAAGGTAAGGCAATAAGTAGTTTGGTATAGTGTTCTACAACATAAATAATAGTATTTTTTTTTTTTTAGTATTGGTGTGTCCTGTTTTTGCTACTCTTTTCTTTCCTGTCTCTCTAAGCTAATTTTATTCTGAAATTAAAAACAACAATAACAAAACATACATACCAAAAAAAGAAAAGGAAACAAAAATCTTGACATCTAGACTCACTGTATAAGTTGAAATGATGAGAGTAGAGAGCACCTTAAGGAAGTTTTCTGTGTGTGTGTGTGTGTGTGTGTGTGTGTGTGTGTGTGTGTGTTTATTTTTTTTCTGAGACAGAGTCTTGCTCTGTTGCCCAGGCTGGAGTACAGTGGTGTGATCTCGGCTCACTGCAACCTCCACCTACCAGGTTCAAGCAGTTCTCGTGCCTCAACCTCCCTTGTAACTGGGATTATAGGCTCACACCACTATGCCTGGCTAATTTTTGTATTTTTAGTAGAGACGGGGGTTTCGCCATGTTGGCCAAGGTGGTCTCGAACTCCTGACCTCAAGTGATCCACCCACCTCGGCCCTCGCAAAGTACTAGAATTACAGGTTTGAGCCACTCTGTCCGGCCATCTAAATATATATTTTTTGAGGCAGGATCTCACTTTGTCACACAGGCTAGAGGGCAGTGGCTGCATTATGGCTCACTACAGTCAGTCTGGACTCTTAAGCTAGCATTTCCCAAAACATATTCTGAGCTTATCTGAAACAGTTCCTCTTATAAAAATGCATATTATTGGCCAGGCGTGGTGGCTCATGCCTGTAATCCCAGCACTATGGGAGGCCAAGGCGGGTGGATTGCTTAAACTCAGGAGTTCGCAACCAGCTGAAACCCCATCTCTACTAAAATACAAAAAATTAGCCATGTGTGGCGGCATGCACCTGTAGTCCCAGATACTCAGGAGGCAGAGACAGGAGTATCACTTGAACCCGGGAGGCAGAGGTTGCAGTAAGTCAAGATTGCGCCATTGCACTCCAGCCTGGGTGACAGAGCAAGACTGTCTAAAAAGAAAGAAAAAAAAATACAGATTATTGGACCTCTACTTTGACATACTAAATGACTGGGTGAGGAACCTGACTTTTTATTTTCTTTGAGACTGTGTCTCACTCTTGTTGCCCAGACCGGAGTGTGGTGTCACGATCTTGCCTCACTGCAACCTCTGCCTCCCGGGTTCAAGCAATTCTCCTGCCTCAGCCTCCCGAGTAGCTGGGATTACAGGCATGTGCCACCATGCCTGGCTAATTTTTCTATTTTAGTAGAGACAGGGTTTCACCATGGTGGCAAGGTAGTCTCGAACTCCTGACCTCAGGTGATCCACCTGCCTTGGCCTCCCAAGTTGCTGGGAGTATAGGTGTGAGCCACTGCGCCTGGTCAAGACCTGACATTTTTAAGAAATTCTACAGATGACTGCAAATTTTTCGAACAACAATACTAATCCATATAATTTCCTTTTTTGTCCCTAAAGATTCTTAGCTGAGCCCTGTGTGCTCCTGACAGTTCTCTGAATCCCCATGGCACTATTCCAGACCTTCAGCCTCACTGTAATATTGCTAGTCATACCTAACCCCTTTGCTTGCTACAGATGTCCTTGCCTCCTGCTTTGCTGAGATTATAGATCCCTTCCATGTGAACTCCATCACTCTCTTACTCCCCCACTAACAAACTCTATCCATCCCAGTCCTTTGTTTTTTTTCTCCTGATTTTAAGTCTTAAAGAAAGAATCCTTCTTTCTGGGCAAAGCTAATTCATTTATTTAAAATTAGTGTAATTTATGAAAGTAATATATGGTTGCTGTAGAAAATAGCAAGATTTAACGGTTTAAGGAAATCACCCCTAATTTTACTATAGAAATATATATTGTTGAGACTATACAGTATATACAGTTTTATATGCTTTTTTTACTTTAAAACATATGGATGGCCAGGCGCAGTGGCTCATGCCTGTAATCCCAGCACTTTGGGAGGCTGAGATGGGCAGATCATGAGGTCAAGAGATTGAGACCATCCCAGCCAACATGGTGAAACCCCGTCTCTACTAAAATAGAAAAATTAGCCAGGCATGGTGGCACATGCCTATAATCTCAGCTATTCAGAAGGCTGAGGCAGGAGAGGCCTCACTTGTTTTCTTTTAATTCTTCAGATGTACCCTGTTCCCTCCTATCTGAGGGCCTTTCTATGCTATTCCCGTTTCCTGGAATGCACCTCCAGTCATCCACACACGTAGCTAATGTGTATTCATTTTTCAGCTCCTAGTTTAAATGTCACTTCCTCAGGGAAGCTATCGCTGATCATCCCACATTGCTAGGTAGGTCCCCCTTTTATTTATTTCATTTTTATTTTTTAAGACAGAATCTTGCTGTGTTGCCTAGACTGGAGTGCAGTGACTTGATCATAGCTCACTGTAGCTTCAAATTCCTGGGCTCATGAGATCCTTCCACCTCAGCCTCCTGAGTAGCTGGGACTACAGGGATGTGCCACGGTGTCTGGCTAGTTGTTTTTTTAAAATTTTTTGTAAAGATGTGTGTCTCATTAAGTTTCCTAGGCTGGTCTTGAACTCATGGCCTCAAGTGTTCCTCTCACCTTAGTTTCCCAAAATTCTGGGATTGCAAGCATGAGCCACTGCACTCAGCCAGGTTCCCCTTTTAGATGCTATCGTAACACCCTGTGCCTTTTCTTTACAACACTTTTCCCATTTTGTAATTCTATGTATTTATTTACTTACTTACTTATTTATTTGAGGTGGAGTATTGCTCTGTTACCCAGGCTGGAGTGCAGTGGTGCAATCTTGGCTCACTGCAATGTCCACTTCCTGGGTTCAAGTGATTCTCGTTCCTCAACCTCCCAAGTACCTGGGATTACAGGTGCACACCGCCACTCCCAGCTAATGTTTGTATTTTTAGTAGAGACATGGTTTCACCATATTAGCTGGTTTGGTCTCAAACTCCTAGCCTCAGGTGTTCCACCCGCCTCAGCCTCCCAAGTGCTGGGATTACAGGTATGAGCCATTGGGCCCGGCCGGAACTCTATTTGTAATCCCTTGAGTGTCTGTCTCCCTCACTTAAGTGTGTGCTCCATGAAGGTAGGGACTAGTCTATTTTGATTACTGCTATGTACTTGGCTCTTGTTACAGAGCAGGCCCCCAGTCAATATTTATTAAATCAGTGAATGAATACTTATAACTTAAAGTTCCTGAATTCTTTGACTCCTCTCTTACTCCAGCGTGGGTGACAGAGAGAGATTCCAGTCAGAATCTTCCTGTTCTGCTTAAATACCTAACATTTGTCAGTGAGAAATATTTTTGTATTTAATTGTGTATCTCCAGGAATTTTGCCCATTTCTCTTTGCTTTGCTTTCAATCATGATAAAAGCACTTTTTTCTTTTCAGTAACATTATTGTTAAAAGCCGTAATTATTTTGTCTTCTCTGCTTCAAACTAAGTAATTCTAACTTCTTTAATCTTTTATCACAGGCTCTGTTTTCCAAACTTTCAATCTTTTCTCTTGTTCCATATTCAATTGTTTTATCCTCCTACCCATTCAGAGGCAAATTGAGGTGATTTTTAAGTTTTGGTTCATAGACTTGTGTCCTTAGGTGAGAAATTTACTTTAGGTTTATATTGTCAGCCCCATAGTACAAGCCAGGCACTTAATTTAGGCATTAGTCAGTGATATAGTTTGAATATTTGTCCCTGCCCAAATCTCATGTTGAACTGTAATCCCCAATGTTGGGAGGGGGGCTTGGTGGAAGGTGATTGGATCATAGGAGTGGAGTCCTCATGGCTTGGTGCTATTCTTATGATAGTGAGTGAATTCTTGTGAGATCGTATTTGAAAGTGTGTGGTACATCCCCCTTATCTCTTGCTCATGCTTTTGCCATGTGATGTGCTGCCTCCCCCTTGCCTTCTGCCATGATTATAACCTTCTTGAGGCCTTATCATAAGCCAGGTAGATACCTGGCTTTCTTTATAAATTACCCAGTCTCAGCTGGGCGTGGTGGCTCATGCTTGCAATCCCAGCACTTTGGGAGGCCGAGGTGGGCTGATCATGAGGTCAGGAGTTCAAGACCAACCAGGCCAATATGGTGAAATCCTGTCTCTACTAAAAATACAAAAATGAGCTGGGCATGGTGGTACGTGCCTGTAGTCCCAGCTACTAAGGAGGCTGAGGCAGAAGAATTGCTTGAACCCAGGAGGCAGAAGTTGCAGAGAGCCGAGATTCCACCTCTGCACTCCAACCTAGGCGGCAGTGTGAGATTCCGTCTCAATTAATCAATCAATCAAGAACTGAGTCCCAGATATTTGTTTATAGCAATGTAAGAATGGTCTACTACAGTCAGAAATCACTATTAAATGATTGACCAGTAAGAACATTTGAAGAGTGCTATTCTTGGAGCATCCTCCTTCTCCCTACCAGTGGTTTCTTTAAGACCAGGTAAAACAATGCTATTTCCCGGAGTTATCACCTTAAAATGAGTTATATGCTTCATATTGCCATAATAAACATTTTGGCTTTTTTTTTTGGTCCAGATATGAGTTCGTTCTTACTAAATCCTCTAATGGGCTCTTATCCTCTTAACCTCATCTCATAAGTTTGACTTCTTCCTGCCCTGGGCATCTTTGCTTCAAGAATGTGTGTAAACCTACATTTTAATTCTGTGAATGTAACTTCTCTTTTCTGTGTGCCTCAGTCCCGTATTTTCCTTTGACTTTTGGGCTAAATTCTGCTTAAACAGGTATTTCTGGATTGTAGAAGTTATGACTGTTTAGTAAGAATATTAATAGCCAAAATTACTGAGTTAACTGGTTTAATAACTTCCATTAACTAATTTAATCTTCACAAGAACTTTATAGGTAGGTATTACAAATTTACCCCTTTTTTACAGATGAAGAAAATGAAGCATATAGTGTTAAGTAGCTTGCCCAAGGTCATACAGCTAGTAAATAAGTAGAAGGATTAGGAATTGATTCCAGTCAGTCTGAG